ACTAAGTCTGCATACATCCTAATATATATCCTGCACCATAGCTATCAAATCTATTAATTAATCTAACCACTGTTGTTTCATAGGATCCGATCCTGTGCTTGGTACTTCTGCGGGTCTTGGGAAATTCACTAAGATTATGTGCTTGTCACACAAGATGGCTGAAAAACACCAACCCAGGTCTTCAGAAGGAGTCTCCATATCTAGTTGTATGTGTCACAAAACAAAACAAAACAAAACAAAACTCTTCCTTTTAAGGCATGCCTTCTGCAATATTCCAAGCCAATTCTCAAAAGGTCCACAATAGCACTACTGGATTTTGATCTCAGGTTCATCCACACTCTGCTGCAACATTACATGATGCTACATTGACATGTTCACTGTAGTCTGTGACATGTGACAAATTCCAAATTCCAGATAGGCCTAGTCTGGGCTCAGTTCACCATGTACTGGTTTCTGCCTTGGAACATCTTGTCACTATCTTAGATTATTTAGACTTGACCTCTTTGTGACTGTCACACCAAATGTGTTCAGTTGATTATTGTTGCAGTAACACAATGACAAATATGAGGTCAAAATTCAATAGTAGTTTTCAAGATTTAGATTGTTACATATGAAAAGTAAGATACTGTTATAATATTATTAAGATCTGGTGTTGCATCACATGGTTTGTTTGATTTGTGTATTTGTTGAGTATGCTGATAAGGGACAAACCTATTTTATGATTATCACTATGGTCATAAAGCTCAGGAGCCAATTCAGAGTATCATAAATTGAACTTGTTACTGAATGTGGCATAATAATGCATATTTGTCCTATTATATATGGTATGACCAATTTAAGGTTGTAATAAACAGTAATATCATTTTAGGTATCTTTGATCACATGATGATATGGTAAATCCTTCCCTTTGCATTAATAGACAAACAAAGATTATTGTTCTTTCTATCCTATAGCTTGTAAGATGTATTAAAATTATTGCATCTTTACAATATAAAGTGTATGGCATAGAAATATATACCCATTTATATCTTCAATCAGACTTGTAAGTAACACATATCTGCCATAGAATAAATTGTTATAGGGACCCCAGGCACCTTTGTGATTAATAGGATATCCCAATGAAAGTAGAACCATTGGTCTATCCCAGATGTCCCATTGGGATATCCTACATAGTCCAATGGGATGTTCTATTAGGCTTTTTGGATGTCCCATGTAGTTGTCCCAAAGGACGTGGTAGACCATGCTCCAGGGGGCTACTAGCCCTGTTGGTTTGGAGATTATGATCAAGCTAAGAGCTCCAAAATTTTGGCTGCCTGAAGTGTCAAGCAGCTTGTCCAGAAAGAGGTACTGTCTTGCTTGCCTATCACATTAAGAGATTCATACTTATGTGGGGAGAAGAGAAATAAGACGAGGCATGCTGACCTGAGTAACACCTCCAAGATGCACAATAGTGGTAGTCAGACCCAGGAAGCAACCAAAGGTTCCAACGTAATGGATCCACAATCTACTGCACGCTCTTTTCAATCAACTCCCCAAAGCCGTGTAATGACTCGTGTATTGAGGAAGCATCATAGACAATCTGCAAGAACAACATTGGTAGCACACAAAGTTGTGAGTAGAAGGGTAAATATTGTATATTTGTCACTCACAATGAAAGAAAAAGGGGTTACAGGGACCTCTGGGGCTTGATGCCAATACAGGGCCTTCATTGTCTCCCGGACCAGGAGAGTCAATCCCAGAGAACAACAAGGATGATGCAAGGTTTATCAGCATGATGGAAGTGGCAATGCTTTGGGCATTCCCCGGTCTGGCCTCTCTTGCACAGAGTGTACAGAGCCTACATAATCAGAGTGGTTCTCCACACTACTGCCAACAGAAACAGAAACCGGCAGAAATCAAACAGTTCAAAAATAGTGAGGAGCTACATATATAATATATGGTCAGTCAGTGAATACAACACAACCTAGGACAAAGCTTACAATAAAATAGAGGCTGCTGTGGCATTTGTTCAAGTCTAAGTTTGATGTTGGCCAGGACAAAGAATTTGCTGTACACAATTCTGCAGTCAGAAGCGATGTACTTGCGTATAACAGAGGTGATGAAAACGCTACTGGGCCCAACAGAGAAGACATACACTTTGATATGAGGGGAGACATGGGTTCTGAATGGAACAAGAAGATATTCCAATATCTTCTTGAATACCTGAAGCAAGCAAAAGACAAATGGTGTCTTCCAGAAGCTCCAGACAGCTATTCAGAAGATTTGATTATTGATAAATTTAATAGGGTTAAATTGTACTGGAAAGCAGCTCAATGGCAAGTCAATTTGAATGATGAAGTGGAAACATGGCAGGAAGTTAAGAAGAGGTTGATTACACAACAGGAGGATAGGTTGAACCAAGCAAGACAAAGGGAAAGACAAAGTAATGTAAGCCCATTATTTGCTCTTGGGAACAGTTGACTGAGATCTCATAGAAATTTAAACGTTGAAAACAAACATTGGAGATGGTTATCAAAACCAAGAAGCATAGCGGTGCACTAGACACTATAATATGGGAATGGCTGAAAGACATGATTGATTGTCTGGAAGAGGACATTATGAGCTCAGAAGAGAGCAATGTGGAGAGGGATGACGAGGGAATGGTGGAAAAAATATATAGGGTGAAGGTGATGTTTTGGCAAAGAAACATTGAGAAAGAGCTTGGAATTATCAATAATACAAGATTGCAAGATGTTAACCTTTACTTGCAGTGAGGTTCCAAGCCGGCCAAACAAAGGCAGAGCAACAAGAATCTGCTAACAAAATGCAATCCAGTTTGTACCCTTCCCAAGGTACTTTATAACAAGGATTGGCTGGATAATCAAAGTGCCAGCTATTGCAAACTGACTCTGTGGGTATCAAGGGAACAGTTCAGATGATTTGAGGTTAGTGCGCAGCGTGTAACTTGTACGTAGATGTATATACTATGGTGCCGTGAAATATCCTTATGGTTGAATGTAATGCCGCTGTCATGCACCAAAGTTGATTGGTAGCATGGACAGGTGTCAATAACGAAGAGAATATTCAAAAAGACTTGCCTTTGCACCACACAGGCATAGTGCCACGTTGCTGATGATGAGAACTGCTGTTAGAAAACCACACACAAAAACAAACTAACACACAATCCTCCCAGATTCCAGGGAACTTGTTTATGGGCTTTGCCTCCTAGAACAGTGGAGTGGTCTGGTAGTTTGTGGGGTGGTACGTATAACAATCCTTCAAAGTAAAACCCAGAGATGTATGAGTGTGGGTTTTGAGGAGGAGGGATAGTTGAATTTATAGAAGATAGGGGCTTAGTGATGAGTATACATGAGCACTACCTTGCTAATGGTAGCACAAGGTAGGTTTGAGAACAATGAGGATGACGAGGTGACGAGGTTCCCAGTGATAGCAGGCTCCTGACGCACAGACTGTAGTGCTCAGAAGGACTCTAATCGAAAGGGATAACAATAACTTCAAAAATGGGAAGTGACGATGACAGCAGTTGACAGTGGTAGCAGTGGGAAGTGTTGTGACCACACTGGATCACAAGTAGCAGAGTAGTGAACTTGAGAGTAGAGAAGAAGTCTGGATTGGAGTTCTTGTTTTTTTTTTACAAGGTAAAATACAGGGGTTTATATAGTAAAAGAAAAGTAGGCTATGCACAGTATAGCTGTGCAAAAAGAATGAGAAAGAACATGAAGGAAGGAATGTACGCTGACGAATCCTGTGTAGGTAGTACAGGATAAGATTGTCAAAAAAAGGAAAAGAAAGGGATAGAACAATGAATGCTGTGAGTAATGTCACAGGTTTGTACAGCCATAAAGTAAAGTCCAATAGCAAAAAGAGAGCAGGAAAATCATGATGTCATGGGAAGATGCAGTAAAAAAAGGGCAAGGCAAAACACTATCAGTATCAACACAGTTCCTTTATTGTCAGTCAGGCATTCTAAGAAAATATGTGTCCATAAAAATGATTCAAAAATCAAAAGTAATCGCACTGTAAATGAATGTTTTGCTGAAGAAAAAGAAACTGGAGCCACCGGTCCACCACCTAGTCCAAATCCGACAGTTCCATGGCCTTACCAATGGACTGGTTGTGTTGGACCACCTGATCAAACGAGGGAGGGAGAGGAGTAGTTCCAATTTGGAACAAGTGAGTCCCAGGCAGTGTGTGGTAGGTGTAGCTGTAGCGAAGACGATGGACAAAAGATAAGTGTACCCAAGTGAATGGGACAGCGATGAACATGGGCGATGCAAGGGGATGAACCTTCTCCAGCCCAAAAATTACCCACCCACGCTCCAACCAGGCAAGACGAACAACCAATGTTTTGATAGTATATGATGGCAGATCGACGTCATGAAGATGGACCTGTTGCCCTATTTGGACCGGCCGCCGGGGCTTTGCTGATATCAGCAGTGGCACGTGGTAGTTAACGGATAGGCGACGGAAGCGGATAGGAAGTGGTGACATCAGAAATGGTGGGGGTGCAAATAAGATGAGGAGGAGGAGGGTGGAGGTGACGAAAAAGTGGATTAGAATGGGGATCCAGAAACGACCGTCAGGTGAGAATAAAAAGGAGAGGAAGGGGCCCATGGTGGGGCTAGGCAAAGGAAGGGGAGTAAGGGAAACGACAAAAGCAAGGGCGCAATGCAATGTGTAGCCAGTGGCGACACAAAAATTTGCCGAAATGCCGAAATGCCGAAAGTACCAAATGGAAAAGCAAAGGTGAGCGTGACTGGATTGCCTAATAGAGGTGATGCTGATCAGCCACAAGTTCGAAAAAGGCAATATTAATGACTATTCTACGTGGCACTGTGCCTGTGTGGCGCAAAGGCGAGTCTTTTCGAATATTCGCTTCGTTATTAACACCTGTCCATGCTACCAATCAACTTTGGTGCATGACACCATCATCATGCCCAGGATCTGCGCAAACACATCAGATAGTATGTATAGTTATGAGCTGAATGTACTCACTTTTTTCATGTCGTCTGGGGCGGTCTTTGTGCCTCTTGGTCCTAGTTAAGAAAGAATAGAGTCAGTTAGTGAGAATAAGAATAAACTGACAGGCTGCTTACGAGGAATGTTTGTTGAGATAGTATCTTGTCCACCACAGCCTCAGCTACAGTGTCATGTTCCTCGGGCATAACATCTGTCTTGAGCATATATAGAGAAAAGTCAGTCTTGATATCTTCTAAGATGTCCACAGGTATCCTCGTCACTTTGCTGTGGTCAACCCTCCTGCATTTTCCTTTACGAGTAGCCGGGCTTGGATTACGATGATCCAAACCCACATTGTCTGAAGATATGGACATGGAAGGTAATCGAGCGGGAGGATTCTTTTCACAAAATTCTGCAGTTAGGTTGTGAGGTTCACCCATTCCCTAGAATGTTGTTAACACATCATCAGGGATGATTTACAAGCTGGACAAACCATTATTACACAGTGTACATAGCCGCCTCTTTCACTTTGACGCTCACCTCTTCTCTTCTCCAGGTGGGGTTGAGATGAGGATCCAGCTTGAAAATCTGGATGAGATGACGCTGGTGGATGAGACAACACTGTTGGTTGATATTGAGAGGGCTGAAATGAAAGTGGTTGTGGTGGTTGATGCTGGGAGGAAGACAGTAGTTGGTACTGGAAGGAAAAAGGTGGTTGAAGCGAAGGTGGCGGCGGTTGATGCTGAGAGGAAGGCAGTGGTTGAATTGAAAGGGGTGGTGGTTGATGCTGAGGGGGTGGTGGAAAATGGTAGGACGAGCCGCTAGCAAAGGAGCTAGGCTCGTTAGTGAGAAGGGCCTGTGATGGCGGGTACCAACTGCTATTATATTCAGCATAATTGTCCTCAAGTTCCTCTGGAAAGGGTTCCAAGGGTTCTGGCTCGTAAGAATCCAGATGCTCATTATCAAGCTCATAATCTTTGTAGCCAATTTGAGGGTCATAGAAATTGATGGGGTTGGACGTTGCCGGTGGCACAAACATCTGAGAGCTGGATGGGGCAGCTGGAGTCCATGTAGAAGTATTTGAGGAATATGATTGCGGGGCATGCTGGAGCAAGCTATGGGGGCTGCAAGGACGAGAAGGTGATGATTTCACAGTTAGATCTGCCCCAGGAGAGCTAGGTGGAGGAGGAATGTCTGAACTGGGGGGAAGAGGACGAGACCTAGTATCATGTAGCATCGTAAAAGAGTTGACTTTCAAAGAATATTAGGTAGCCTGAGTGGAAGTTGATAGTAAAAGACACTGTGGCTTACTTTCGGAGCTTGAAGGACTTAGCAGAATGGTGGATGACGCACTCAGGCTTGCTACCAGTGCATCTACAGTTTTGTAGTACCCAGACAGCCTTGACTGTTTTTTCCAAGGTGTCACTAGAAATGCCTCTGTGTCCATCTGCAGACTGCCCACAAAAGGATTTTGGGACTTGGGAAGAAGTTCTGAACCATTTGAACAATCTATTGACTCACTGCTTAATCAATTTCAATAATAGTGGACGATTACAAGATCACTCAGGATTTCAGTACCACGGCACTTCAGGTATGACATTTGGCAATGCTGATAACATCATCCAGCAAATACAAAAGGACGATCTGGCAAAGTATCGAAAGAAAAACATATACTATCCCTTCAAAGATCGAGATGAGTGGGACTTTGTCAAGTTCCTCTGTGAGAACATGAACAGAAGTCAGATCGATCATTTTCTGAAGCTCAAATGGGTGAGTTCTTTCTGTGAACAATTATATTAAAGCATACATAACTGTAGTGCATGCATATTAGGTTCAGGATGGCAATCCCTCCTTCTCCTCAGTGCATACTCTGTTTTTCTGGATCGAATCATTGCCTAGCGGCTCCCGGTGGCAATTGCAAGAAATAAAAGTTGAAGGATACAAAACCGCCAAGCCAATGATCCTTCTTTGGAGGGACGGCTTAGAAGTTGCACGGCACTTATTTGCAAACCCGGTGTTCGCCAACCACATTGATTTGGATCCCAAAAACGTGTTTGTAGATTATAATAAGGTGGAGAAGGAGTACGGTGAATTTATGACGGCAGAGTATGCCTGGGAATGCCAGGTGCGCAACATAGCATAGCCATTGGCACTTGTTGATGGATCCAACAGGCTGAACTCCCGTTTGGAGCAACTTTACTTGGGATGATTGGGGCTTCTGATAAGACTGTGGTTACAAGAGGGACTGGGGGGCTTGAAATGCACCCCATATTTTTAACGCTGGCAAATATCCACTCGGAAGTTAGGATGAAAGCTACATCCCATGCCTGGTTGTGTGCTGGCTTTTTATCAATTCCCAAGTTTGATTGTTCACATGACCTTCAAACACTTCTTAGTTCTCGAGTCTATCACATGTGCATTGATAAAATTGTTGCAAGCTTGAAGTATTGCGCTCGCTACGGCCATAAAATCACGGACCCATTTGGGAAGGGACGGCTAGCTTACACCCCACTCGTTGCATGGATTGCAGACCTCCCCGAGCAACAGTTGATTGCTTGCATTTCAAAAAATTCCTCTCCCATTTTGACAGCTTCACTTAAACAGTTCGGTGATCCATTTGCACACCCTTCATGTCATGGCGATGTCACCTATCAAAATATCTGCAAACTTGCAAATAGAGTCCACCCGTGGAACAAGATTGTCAAATATCAGGCAGAGGCAAAGAAGTTGGGACTGAGTGGTGTCCACCTCCCATTCCGGAGAGATTGGGCAATGTCAGACCCTGCTTCGTTTCTCGTGCCAGAAATTCTTCATACGTGTCATAAATTCTTTTTTGACCATGTCCTCACTTGGTGTAAAGAGCTTGTGGGCAGAAAAGAGCTTGATCAATGTTTCAAGGTGCTCCACAAACGTATTGGATATCGCCATTTCCACTCCGGGGTCAGCCATGTCAGACAAATGACTGGACGGGAACATCGTGAAATCCAGAGGACCATCCTAGGAGTCATTGCTGGCTGTGCACCCCCCGTGTTTATTCGAGCTATTTGTGCCATCATCGACTTCATCTATCAAGCACAGTCTCCTGTCCACACCACATCTTCTTTAGCTACCATGGTGGACATGTTAAAGGAATTTCATGAAGAGAAAGATGTCATACTAATGAAGGGGGCTAGGAAGGGGAAGGAAGGCCCTTTGAAGCACTTTTGGATTCCGAAACTGGAGCTCATGCAAAATTTTGCTTGTTCCATCAAGAGAATGGGCTCAGTCATGCAATACACGACCGACGTGACTGAACACCTCCTCATCACTCACTGTAAACACCCTTTTAGCCATGGGACTAACCACCATCATGACTTCGAGCAGCAGTGTGTCCAGGTCCTATCTGTCCTGGAAAGGCTTTGTGTATTCAGCTTTTACACACTACTGGAGTCTCACGGTCTTGATCTGGTTGGTGTCATAGTTGAAGAAGAGGACTCAGTGGTAGAGGTCGTCAATCCAGAATTGTTGTGGTTATCCCGAGTGCTCCCGGATGATGATCACAAAGCGGGACCACGTCCCATGAGGAACCTGTTCATTGATGGAATCTGGTCACAAGATGGCAACACGGCCTTTTACGTCAACAAAACAGTAGATTTCCCAAAGCTGAGCATTGATGATGCCGCAGCAAAATTTGGTCTCGAAGATTTCCGCCCCGCACCCGCCAACTACACATGTCAGCTGAATCAAACACGAAGGTTAGGTGGTCCCTATGATTTTCCGTTCACACATGTTCGTGTGTGGTTCAAATTCCGTATACAGCAGCATTCTGTACACAAAGCAAACACTATCATGGCCCCGCAAACTGTACAAGCTCAAGCCCCTTCTGCAGCAGCCTCTCAAGGAACGTGTGATGCTGTGCTTGCTGGGGATCCTTCTGCCAACGGATCTATAACATGTAGGTCTATCTATTTTACTCCTACAAAGCCTGTTGATGTTGATCTTTGACTTGGCATTACAGGTAGTACAAGTCCGAATGGTTTTCCAGCTGATACCCCCCAAAAACACCACCATCCCCGCCCACCTTTCGCCAATTCTACTCTACGTTCAAAACTTCCGATTTGCGGGACGAAGGAATAGCAAAGGTGTTGTGCTGGAAGAGCCAGACATAGATATGTTCCTTGTAGAGAGGACATTTTGTTCAATGTTGGACTCATCGGGACAGAAGATGCGGATGGGGGGTATCATTCCTCTCAGCCAGGTTGCATATCCTGTGGATCTTATCCCAGTTTTTGGCAGTCATATCGAACCTCAGCTCAATGCAAACAATACCCTGGAGCGACCTACTCAATTTTATCTCAACAATTTCTCAGACAAAGAAATATATCAAACACCGTTGTCTGAGCTCTAGGATTTTGTCTCCCATGTACTTAGTAGTGGTTTGCTCTTACTCCGGCCTGTAACATTTTTGATAGTTTGTAGTATACTTCATAGTTTTCATCTGTATTGTTGATACTATCAATAGGATTTTATCTGTTATCTTGCCTATGGAGAAGACCTGATGCCGTTTTACAACGCTTCATCTCATCTTACCGAGCGCTCAAAATAATCAGGTTGACCACTCGTTCCAAAAAAGGTCACCCTCTGTCAGTCCACCAATAATATGCTTTTCCGAGCTTCGCCACTAGAAGTTCACTCGCATAGTATTAAACGAAAATTTGGGACTTTACAGATGTGTTTCAGCTGAAACCTTTATGTGCTTTTTCCTGGTATGACTACCCACACAATGCCGAGTTCAAGCCGAATATGCCGCTCATGGTGCCTTCTCTATTACTACCGAAGCGGGGGTTCCTGCAAAGGTCCTTACTTCGGACCAGACTAGTCGGTTAGGTGTGTTAAGCCCATCTCAAGTTTCGGTCCAATCTCGGACAAATTGACTGGCTCATTTTTTTCAACTTGCTCTAGGATTTGCTTAACACACCCACCGACTGGTTGGAGTCTGAGTCTGCACAAGTAAAATACATCCAGCATTGGGGACCAAGTTTGAAGGACAAATTCATTATTCCTCAGCATCGTCTGGCAGATCTAAAACCATAGAATCCTCCCTTAGTTCACTGTTCTCGACAGCCATTAAGTCAACAGGCTCTTCTTCCCCCTCACCCTCCTCGTCATCTTCATCGATAATCTCGTCCTCCTCTACTCCCTCATCGTCCTCCTCTGCCCCAATATCGGCCAACTCGTCATCGTCTTCTTCTTCATCGTCTTCTTCCATCAAATCATCATCTGCTCCGTTAGTGTCGCCCTGAGATATAGACGAAAGGGCTGTTGCTCGTGGCACAGATGTAAACGGGGGCGGAAGAGGTACGGCTCGTTCTTTTCCTTTGGACCGAGAAGTCGAAGAAATAGATTCTGTCTCCTTGGCCTTTCCTTTACTAGCAGAAGAGCTGGTGGCACCACTTTTCTTCCCTTTGTCACCTTTCACGTTGTCGCGATACACTACCAATGCGATGATTTAGTTAGTCGACCCTAGTAAAAAGCCACCCAGCAATTACCTTGCAACTCAGCTTGAAGATTGTCTACGAGGTCTCCGAATTCGATAATTTCAAGGGCTTTGAGGACGTCTGACGCCGAAATGCTTTTGTGTTGTTTCGACTGCGCGACATCGTGAGCGCTGAGAGAACAAGTGTCAGAACACGAGTGAGCTCGATGAACTGTTATAATCACGTGGCAGCTAGAATAAGATATAGGTTAGGAGATATTAACAATATAGGAGAACTGAGTCGATCATACCGAGATAGTTGATAAACACGGTTGAGCCTTTGACTAGGGATAAGACCGTATCTTTCTGCAATTTGGAATTTTCGGGTATCTAGTTGAGGAATGAGGATAAACCTATACTGTAAAAAAAGGGAGGACACACCGACGATTTCGCGATTTTCGTAACCAAGCTTTTTGGCAGCTCAAAGTTCTCTATGCCTTCTGATACTAGGTCTTGCTGGGCTTGTGCAGATATTGGCCCCGATGTGGCATCTTTGCGAGGCATTTTCTAAAGTGGGGGATGGCGATGGCTCCAAGGGAAGTGCGATGGTGAGACTGCAGATTAAGGCTGGAGAATGTGACAATGATCATGCGCCGGACAACTTGAAGTTGCACTCCCCTTAGTTGAAGGGCAACTATAGGGAAGTCACCAAATCGGTCGATTTCGATTGTTAACCGATTGTCACGTGACCTGACCCTTTATTTCATCGTAGTGGCGCTTGGCGCCAGTCCCCGACTGTGGGGTACACAAATCTAAGCCAATGCAAACACGGCTGAAGCCAAGTGGAGCACACGAAAACATTTTTGCATTTCAAAACATAGTTCCTGGACCCGTAGGATCCAGGTTTCCATTTCACAATTACGCTGTGATTTTTGCGGACCTTTTATTAATTACTCATCTCATCTCAGTCATCTTCTTATTTGTCCAGCTGCTAAGACCTAAGGTCCCACTCTTTTATATCTTTCTTTCTTCCTCATCCTCCACACCATGGGCAATCAGCAGTCTGCCATCTCTTGATGTGCATGATGATGGCAGTCTGTTTTTGACCTCAATCCAATCACAATGCACCTTCAAATGTTTGGACCTGGACAAAGAGCAACATGTTCACCACACAATGTACGGCCCCATGGCAAAATCATACATGTTATCTTCCCCAACCTTACATCTTTTCTGGATACTTTTGAATTTTTGCAAGTCATTGATTTGTGCTCAATTGCAGCAGCACATGCAGTCTCTGTAACACATCACTTCAAGAAGGAGAGAACCCTCAATGCAACAGGGTCCAGGTCTGCCCTGGAGGGCCATGTTATTATACTAGTATACTTTATTAAGACAACAACAATTCTGCCCAAAAAATTGCACAAAGATGCATCTTACCTGGGGTTACTGCAGTCTCCATTTCTGAATAGTGAATTAGTGAAATGACCAATGATATTCAATGTGATGTAAAGACTTACTGTTAAAATCTTCCAACGAGAATTCAGAAACATTGGACTATTGGAATCTAGGAAACAATAACTCAGTTTTGTGTGAATAAAACTGAGATGCAATTATACTGTAGTGAGAAGCAAACACTAAAGCGAGAGAGGAAATGTATTCCCATAACTATAGAATAAAAAAGTTGGACTAGAAATGGTTTATCTACTACTTGAAATATTAGCGTAGGCTCAAATAAAAACATACTCATAAGAGTAGTATAGTAGAATAGCTAAAATATGCCTACACGGACTTCATTGTTTCTGAGCCATTGAGAAAAAATGGTGCACTGTGTACTATGAAGACCATTTGTGCATCACTTCCGTTGCCTAGATTTTTGGTGAATGGTGTGTATGATAATGGTATTTCTGTGTGTAGATTAGGAATTGCAAGCAAGGGAAAATGATAAACCATACTGTACATACCTGTTTTAGTTGTTTTTTCACAGACGACAGAAAGTATAATAATGTATTGCGGGCCTCAGCAGAGCATTGTACAGCCTCAGGTGGGTAAACAATGTCAATACCGCCCCTTGATATATTTACTCATGGTTTGAGTTCAAACACCACTTTTGTTTTCTTAATGTCTTTGGCAGTTGGCTAAGGATGGTGGACTTTTAGTTAATGGAAGTATAATCATGTTTTGGTTATAATATATTACCTGTTTCATGGTTGGAAAGGTGAAATACAGGGCAATGCACATGGATTTACCGTTGAGATTGAGGATGGCCAGAAGTTGCATGGTGAATATTTGATCATCTTTGTCAACCCATTGTTCTGCATGGCCTTTAGCATCAACATAACAAGGATTGTTGGATTTTGCAAGCATGGCCAGGTGAGCAGTGTTACAAATTCCTACAATCTCTCATTTTCCTTCAAACATTTCCCTTTCTATTTATTGGACTACATTTCCTTATCCAGTGATTATCACCTATCACTGTATCTTCCCACATTATATTTTCTCATCTTATCTCTTATCTCTCAATTCTTGTACTGTTATCTTATCTTTATATTCCCTTCTTGGACACACAGCCATAGTCTATACCAGCTGATCATAGATCACTCAAGGATACTTCTTTTAGTTATATTATGGTCATATGCTTCTGACCTATTATTACTATTCCCCCTAGGATACTCCTTTTTGACTACAACCTCTTGCCCTTGACCAGGTATTTACGCTATTGGCTCTTACATATAAACCCAGCTTGGAGGAGCTTGGATTTTCTACCTACTCAGTATATAAACCCCTGTATAACAGTAGGATAGGACAAGCTGAATCTACTCTATATTTTTTTGCTACCATCATGAAGGGAATGCTCAGCCCTGTCATCTGAGCAACTACATCTTTGACCCTAACAACAATCCTCAGTTGTAGGGAAGGATCTTCTATCTATAATCCCTGGGAATGATAGAAGATAGGAATCAATGGTGGCAATACCCATGAGAGTCAAATTACAATCATGTTGAAGCCTTGATTGTAACAGACAGAACCAGCCAAATCTGGTGCTGTTGAGCAGGCTATCAAAGCCTCTACAAGGACAGGTGCTACAATAGGAGAGGGTGCATAATACTTCTCACCCTCCAGGGTGGGAGAGCAAGCAAGCAATACAGAAGAGGATTCTGGCGTTGAGTGAGGAGACACTATCAAAATTGTAGATACAATATTGACGGGCTTGTGGCTTTATGTGGTGTTTTTAATACAAATAAAATCAGACATCACATGTCAGCTTAAAGCACATGAGCAGAGCAAGAATCTATTGTGGTGAAATCAGCAGCATCTTGATCAGCAATTGGAGATCCACTGTGGCACTGTCCATCATATTTCCATACCTTATTCTCTGCATCAAATAATCAAGCAGTGAAATGGCATCCTCCCTGGTATATAACTCCTTTTAACTTGTATATGACTTGATTGCCTTCCTGATAAGGCAGCAAAATAGTATGGCTGGGTAAAATTGTCAACTGTAAAAGATAAATCTGTCTCAAAGACCAGCAGAAGTGGGACATTTTCAAATGATATGTGTGTATCCATAAGTGATCCACATGAACTAGGGCAGGATTGTGCAATGTGATTTTGGTTGAATAAAAATGCTTCTTTGTGGAGGAAAAGATGAATCCATGTTGTAATTGAAGCAGAAGTTGTTGTGGGATCTACAAAAGAATCAGGAGCAAATCTGTACCACAGGTGTGAATTGCACACCAGTGGTAAAATATGCCAAAGAGGTTGTGGATTACAGTTTACAGTACAACCTTTTTGGCAAACAAAATATATGCTAGGATTTCAAGGGTCATGTTCTGTCAATATGGAAAATCTCACTAATGGATGCACCAACATTACCTGTGCCCAAAATGCTGAGGATTATGCACTGATAGTGATTGTCTAAACTTGTCTCGTAACCGATTAAAGGAAATATGTGAGAATAGATTATCTGTGGAACTGCACAATTTGTCAAATGACTTCGACAGACTCTGGCTGAGAGCTGAGCCATTCTTCCACTGTAGTTGTGACAACACCAACAAGATACAGTCTTGGGGCACTGGAGCACAACAGCAGACAAGCAGAAGAGTAGTGAGAGGGAGTGGTTACCCCTTAGGTAGGACCGAGTTAGTTGTTGGTAGACAACAGGAGGACTCGCTGAGTCCCTTCCCATGTATTGCTCCTCTATATATACTAAAATACATGAGGTACTGTATAGTTGTAAATAAAGTTTAAAGTCCGATGTTTAGCATGTGACCAGTCACATGATGGGCCTAGACACTGGTCATGTGACTATAAAAAGTCCGAAATGTAAAGTAAAGTAAATGGTCACATGATCAGTCATGTGACTTGGAAAATGAAAAGTAAAAGTACAAAAAAGTGAAGCGTAAGTAGGTGCTGGTATGTCAATTGTAACAGTAGTTGCCATATAACACTGGACAATTTGTAAATATAAAATAAAGTCATAAAACCACTCTCATACACACAGAATCAGTTCTGTGAATCCCAGACACAGCATGCACTTGGAGCTGGTAAGTGATTTACAATTACAGGATGTCTAAGGATACCAGGTTTAGGGGGGGAAGACATTATGGGGTGTGAATGCTCACTTGTGGATAATTTGACACACTTTGTTTTACATTTAACAGCTGGTGAATTATCCAACATAGAAGCTTTGCATTGCACAATTGTTAAAGAAATCCACATCCTGATAGGTGCATTCTCAAATCCATAAGCACTGGACTGCATCACCATATTCCGGATCACCTTTCGTCTAATGCTGCTCAGTCAAAGTTATAACAGTGTTTATGGTTTTCCATGCAAGATGGTGCCGATGATGAGAACTGTTGCTAGAAAACCACACGCAAAAAAAGCTAACCAAAAATCCTCCCAGATTCCACGGAACTTGTTTATGGGCTTTGCCTCCTAGAACAGTGGGTGGTCTCGTTGTTTGTGGGGGTACATATAATGATTCTTCAAAGTAAAACCCAGAGATGTATGGGTGTGGGTTTTGAGGAGCTACACCTATCACACGCTGCCTGGGACTCACTTGTTCCAAATTGGAACTACTCCTCTCCGTCCCTCGTTTGATCAGGTGGCCCAACACAACCAGTCCATTGGTAAGGCCATGGAACTGTCGGATTTGGACTAGGTGGTGGACCGGTGGCTCCAGTTTCTTTTTTTTTCAGCAGAACATTCATTGACACTGCGATTATTTTTGATTTTTGAATCATTTTTATGGACACATATTTTATAGAATGCCTGACTGACAATAAAGGAACTGTGTTGATACTGATAGTGTTTTGCCTTGCCTTTTTTTTTACTGCATCTTCCCATGACATCATGATTTTCCTGCTCTCTTTTTGCTATTGGACTTTACTTCATGGCTGTACAAACCTGTGACATTACTCACAGCATTCATTGTTCTATCCCTTTCTTTTCCTTTTTTTGACAATCTTATCCTGTACTACTTACGCAGGATTTGTCAGCATAAATTCCTTCCTTCATGTTCTTTCTCATTCTTTTTGCACAGCTATACTGTGTATAGCCTACTTTTCTTTTACTATATAAACCCCTGTATTTTACCTTGTAAAAAAAAAAGGAACTCAAATCCAGACTTCTTCTCTACTCTCAAGTTCACTACTCACTACTACTTGTGATCCAGTGTGGTCACAACACTTCCCACTGCTACCACTGTCAACTGCTGTCATCGTCACTTGTCACTTTTGAAAGTGATTGTCATCCCTTTCGATTAGAGTCCTTCTGAGCACTACAGTCTGTGCGTCAGGAGCCTGCTATCACTGGGAACCTTGTCACCTCGTCATCCTCGTTGTTCTCAAACCTACCTTGTGCTACAATTAGCAAGGTAGTGCTCATGTATACTCGTCGATAAGCCCCTATCTTCTATAAATTCAACTATCCCTCCTCCTCAAAACCCACACTCATACATCTCTGGGTTTTACTTTGAAGGATTGTTATACGTACCACCCCACAAACAACCAGACCACTCCACTGTTCTAGGAGGCAAAGCCCATAAAGAAGTTCCATGGAATCTGGGAGGATTGTGTGTTAGTTTGTTTTGTGTGTGGTTTTCTAACAGCAGTTCTCATCATCGACACCGCTGCCCGAGAGGCTATAGAAACGACTTTATTATTTACCTAAGTGAAACTACAATAGATGTTAGTTTAAGGTGATCTCTAATAAATGTAATGTAACATACCTCAGCCGCTGCCCGAGAGGCTATAGAAACGACTGAGGTATTCCTATACTAAACCCCCTACTACTTATAGTCGGAGGTGCTACTCGCTACAGTATAATGACTCCTAGGAGAACAATGGTTACTCCATGGAGTGGTGGCTATGCTCCATGGAGAACAATGGCTGCTTCGGCAGAGACCGGGTTTATCCGGTTTTGTCAACCCTTGGAGGGGGGAATGTAACAAGGCAGAAGTCCAAATCAATCCGGCTCACCAGGTGCTCGGCGCCTGACCACGCTCCTTCATCATGCGAACATGTATCCTATCCTACACTCTCCTTTAATGCTCCTGATAGACTTGTTGCTATTGTAGTGTTGGCATTGCTCATTCGCTGATCCCCGTGGTTACCGTAGAAGTATAAGAATGCATTGTAATCGATAGGGAACCACCTATGTGACACCAAAAATCTTACTAATTAGTAAATGGGCTGTAGCGTGACCTCCTCACTAATTAGGCGGCTCAATCCTAGCTGCAGCACTCAAGAGTAGACTGTAGGTTGACAATATAGTGCGTGGTCCTAACCCTAGCTGAGACTTAAGTAATTCCTTCTCACGTTTCGCTCGGACCGTGTTCAGTGTCTCCATCGTTACCTATACATGTGTGCTCATCGTCGACAACGACAAGCACAACATTTCACTCAAAAACTGTCAAATTTTGACCATTTTTTTTCCTTGTCAGTTCGTAGTTTAATTGTATACTCTCCGTGCTATAGAACTACCATATAGAACTACCAAACAACGCTATGTGTTGACTGGTCTGTGCACGTCTGCTGGCCGCTCCCTTAAATTCTAACTCCGACTTTCTTGCTAGCCCCGCCCCGGACCTACCCAAAAACTCCTCGCAAATATTCTCATGCCTTATCATCCCCATCATTGTCGTCTCAACACCGTCTGCATAGTCCTCTTCTTGCTGTTTGCTGTGAACTCATCCTTACTCCGATCACATCAACATCTCAGTACCTCAATCCTTGATTATTCAGAGCATTTATGAGCCGCAAGAAGTATTCTTTTCTCACCTCTTCTTATATCCATATGATGAGCTTGCGTGACAGTGGGCTGTGACATGTTACTTGGTCGACCCTCACAAAAATTCATCAAGACCAAGTTGAATTTGAACACCGCCGTTGAGAGGAGCTCAAAAGTAAGTAAGCCTTTTATCCCCGGCTAGTCAGTGCATAGTTCAGCATATTCTAGGTAGGAATCAACCTTATCACAAAATGCTCTCAGAAATTGCGCAAAATATTGGTGTTCCTGCTGAGACACTCGAGGAGCATGGTATGTATGATTCGTATAACTGCTATACTGACAATCCTACAGAAGAGCGAGAATATGACCATGATTCTCAAGATGAATGTGGGCTAGACGGTCAATACAAGTTTGATCCAGTGGAACGCGCCCGAGCAAGCATGATTACAAGGTCGGTTGATTAATGTCTGTTGTTGTCTAGCAGCTTACAGTAATTTAGTATGTGTGGTTCTTCTTTTGGACGTAGACGTGGCGATCATTGTACACGCGTACAACAACATTGTGGTATGCATGAACACTGGCAGAATCAACTTTCTGATCTTGTCAAAGCTTATCTATGTTGGAAGTACAATAAACGTCCAACTGAAGACATGCAATCAACTTTTAAATTTGAGGTTGCAGCAGTCAACATGACAAGTTAAGTGTCCCATTTTTAGACGTACAAGCGTGCTGATACTTCCAAGGCTATGTGGACAAACTACCTGTTTCTCAGGGAGCTAATGAAGCAGCCAATGTCTCTTTAATTCCTTGGATGTTCTCTTATACAGCCCTTTGTTGCTATATCCCTGGAATCACTTGAGATTTATCATCAGATAAAACGGCATCAATCCTCCTTCAGCACCCAGGCAATGGCAAAAGTTCTATGTGCGCTCAACAATGTAATCCCACTCATACTTTCTCGTGTGACTGTCTTAACTTATAACACTGTTTCCAGGTTACGTATGTCCAAATGTTTCGGGATCAGTTATCAATTGCATTTGACATATATTTAGAAATACTGCAAAGAGTTCGGGCTAAGGTTAACAAGCTACTCGGTAGGGATTGTCCTGACTGGCGTATTTGTTTTGCATGCCCGGCCTGTGGTTACAAGGTGCTTCTCTATTGTCTAGGCTTTGTAGTATCTTACATTATGTTACGGTTGCCAGATGATCCTCCACTAGTCCCTGCACAAATTCACGGCATGGATGGTAACAACTCGGCAAAACGATGTGATGGTGCTAGTTCTGCAGACGAACACATATTCCAAAGTCCCTACCTTATAAGCAATGAAGATGTTGATGTTTTCCAGAATGAAGTGCATAATTGACCTGGCGTTCAGGATCATTCATCTATGCAGACAGACAATGCTGTTTGGACATCAAGATGAAGAGCCACCAGACATTTGCACAGATAATTGGACTGTAGCCAATACAGTCGATGATCATACTATCAAAATATTTGAACAAACAGGCATATTCATATTGGCTTGTCGTCATGGTATTGTTGAGACACTAGTGGAAATGCGACACAGTGGAGAACTGTAGGTGCTTATATGGTCCTGACGTCAGATGATCTGACTCATATGTTCCTTCAGTGCAAAATATGCATTAGCCACTGTGAATAAGCTTCTCAGTGTATTCGGCTCCAACCAGGTGATTGGTTACGACATTGGTTTCTCGTTCGCAAAAACAATCTCACGTAGTTCCCTGAGTAATCAAGCGGAATTGAAGAACTTGATGATGGCTGTCAACTCTTTCTATGGCCATGCTCACAATTGCACCTGCCAACTCACTAAGCACCCCCTCTATCTCAAAGGCTTTGGTTTGGAAGACATGGAGATGTGCAAACAGATTTTCTCATCCTTAAATAGTACAGCTCATGTCATACAACATGCTTCACATTTCCATTGGCTCCAATACCTCGACCTACATTTCAATCAGTGGGATCAAGATAAATATCAAGAACTTAGTACGTATCAATTGATATCAATTTATTTACTGAATGTCACAATATTGATCCACCGCAGGTAACTTTCTTTCGAACAACTATAAACAAGTGTTAGCCATTCTTCAGGAGTATGGTCCAGAGCTTGACAAGTTCAGAGATACTCGTGGTTTCACTGGTGCAGATTATGAGCAATGGAGAACAGAAGAACTCGAGTATCTCACAAGACTTACTCAGGAATCTGATTATGAGGTAAGGGTGCCAGTTTACATTGGTGCACTCGAAAAAGTCACCCAGCTTGAGTGAGCATTCTTGATACATTCTTGTTTATATTATGACTGATGCATTATTGTATAGGGCAAGTTATGGGGTTATGACAACTGTACAGTTTGAAAACTACGTCCCTTCAGAAGCTCAGGAGGTTGATTCACAGGTGGTTTTGCATCAAGGTCCAAATGAGGCCCATTGTCAGGCAATGGCTGAGGCTGCTGAAGTGCAGCTGGTGGGCCCATATCTCCCCCTGGACCTGGTGTAGGGACATCCTCAATCAGGCCCAATGGCATGGATAGCGAAGGTGGAGTGGGAGGTGGAGGTGGGACATTGTCAGAAGACCTCTTCAAGCCAGGGAAGTAGCACTCATCAAAATCAGCTCTCTCAGAGATAACAGTGCGCTTGGTGGTAGGATTGTAGAATTTCCATCCCTTGTACCCCTCAGGGTAACCAATAAACACACATTTCTCCATATGAGAGCCAAAGACGCCTCTTTTGTCCTTTTGCATATGCACATAAGCAGTGCAGCCCCAAACGCGAAGGTGAGACATGTCAGGCTTGCATCCATACCACAACTCAAATGGAGTGGCATGGGCCACTGCATCAGTGGGACACCTGTTCCAGACATGCACCAAAGCGGACAGACATTCACCCCAGAAGCTGTTAGGCAATGCAGACTCTGATAACATGGCAGTGATACGCTCAGTCAGAAGTCTGTTTGCTCGCTCTGCCACACCATTCTGCTGAGGACGATTCCTGGTGGTATGCTGTCTGACAATCCCATGGTCATCTGTGAATTGCTCAAATTCCTTGGACATGTACTCTCCCCCTTTGTCATCGCGCAGAGCCTTGATTTTACGCTCTAATTGAGTCTCAGCATAAGCCTTGAATCTCTTGAAAGCATCAAAGACATCTGACTTGGCCTTGAGAGGCACAACAACACGGAATCGACTGTGATCGTCAATGAAGGTGACCCAGTAGCGATAACCAGAGAATGTGGGGGAAGAGACTTGGTGTACATCAGAATGGATGAGGTCCAAAGGATGAGCAGAGCGAGTATCAGATGAGGGGAATGGATTGGCATGCATCTTGCCAGACAAGCACGGTTCACAGACAGGATCAGGAGCAGCCTTGGATTCCAGTGTAAGCCCAG